ACCCCACCTCACCCCACCCAGCCTGATTCATGATCTGTCTGTGGCTGGAGCAGCCAACCTGCCTCCCAGTGGGCAGCTCTGAAGGCTGTAGTGGGCTTGGGCTGAGAAGACACGTTGTCCAGAGGCAGGCCATGTCCCCAGCAGGTGGTGAAGTCACATGAGGGGCACCAGCAGGTTCCCACTCATACCTAGAGTGAAGTCCCTTCTACTTCCTCTTCTGTCTTCTGGGCCATCAGTCACTCCCTTGTCTAGATAGGCAGGTCCACTGGTATGGACTGAATTGCTTCCCACTGGCTGCAAACTGGTGCTCCTGGGTGAGTGACCACCTCCCCGAGCCCATGTGGAGCTTGCCACTCGGGAGATCTGGCATGAGCTTTGCTCCCCATGCCCCTTTCTCAAGGAAACCTTTGAGACTTTGTGACTGGAGGCCATTTACGGAGCACGCGCTAAGTGTACCTCTGCATTGTCTCATTTAATCTGCACACGGTTCTGTGGGGAAGGGGTCATTACTGTCCCCATTTCCAGAGCGGGGAAACCGAGGCCCAGATTAATGGAGTTGCTGACCCTGGTCACCCACCAGGAATGTGACAGAGCAGGGAGTTGAAGCAGCCAGTGCCCAGGCTCATAACCAGCCCTCCAGTGCCTGGGGTGGGAAGGTACCTCCAAGATCACCTAGTCAGTCCCCGTATCTGACAGTATCATCCCCAAAGCAGAAGCAGCCCAAGTCTAGGGGCAGTGATGCTCCCACCCCACAAGTCCTAAGAGGAGAAGGGGAAGGGACTCCCTAGAGGTGACCCACTGGGCCCTGAGAGCACTGAGAGCCAGCATCATTCCCATCAGCACCAGTGTGGGTGGGATTGGGGACCTCTTCTTGGAACCCAGCTGCAGAGCCTGGCGGGAGAGCCACAGAGGACCTGGTCTCTGCCACCTGGCCCTGCACAGTGGTTCACTTAAGGGAGCTGGAGGCTAGTCTCAGGGAAGCCAAGCTGTTCAGAGAGACGTGGTTGGTTTTATCTCAAAGGTAGACAAGCGGAGGTACTTGGTGGACTTACCAAGTCAGGGCCTCAGGCATCCAGATGGGAGGAGAATTGAGGCCTCCCACTCTGCTCTGAGTGTCTACAACCCGGCTTTTGTAAGAGATATTACAGCAAGCTGGGAGCCTTTCTGCTCATGGACCATCACTCAGTCTTTCAACAAACACCCTCAGCATCTGCCTTCAACCCCATGACTCTCAGAGTCACTTTCTGCCCCAGAAGACCACCAGGTGGGGTCAATGTGGTGACAGGAGAGCACTGTGGGGGCCCAGAGCAGGGACTGGGAGCTTTGCAGGGGGGAGGTGCCAGTTAGGAAAGCTTCCCAGAGGAGCGATCCTCAGAGGACAAGTGGGGACTGACCAGCAGGGAAGGGTGAGGAGGTGAGGACTTGCCCCGCAGAGAACAGAGGAGGCTTGGTGAGCACGTGTAGGGGGGGCAGGCTGGGTGGGGCAGAAGAGCTGAGGTTGGCAGGCGCAGCTGGTGCCAAGCTCCAAGTGTGTATATGGGGTCCTGGGGGGCCCACAAAGAATTTGGCCCAGGGCATGCTGCCTTCCCTGCCCCTAGTCTTCATCTCTCTCCCTATGCAGGGGGTTTGCCCTTGCCCCTACTAACAGCCTCTCTTTTCCTGTCCCTGCAGGACCCCAAGTCTGGTTGCCATCCCCACTTACGAGGAGGCTGTGCGCTGCCCACTGGTTGAGGAGCCCCTGGTGCCACCTGCGTACCCCACAGAGGAAGACCTGCCACACAGTGCCTCCAGGGCTGTCCTGCTTGGGACCCAGCCCTCTTTGCCTCCGCCCAGCTACGAGAGCGTCATCCTTGCTGCTGATGCCATGCCCGGAGAGACAATACCTGGCGCTGCCAGGCCGGTTCAGACCGCAGTGGGAGGAAGTTAAAGGCCCCTAGCAGGCCCTGAACCCAGGGATAAATCATGAGCTTCTTCTGGTGACTGATACAGTGTCTGGTTCACAGTCGGCACTCAGTGAATGTTCACTTCTCAGTGCTGTTTTAATTACCTATTGCTGTGTAACAAATGGCTTGAAGTAAATCCAGTTTATTATCTCTCCTGACTCTATGGGCTGCCTGGACCCAGGTGGGTGGTTCTTCTGCCCCCTGCAATGTGTGTGGGGCTGTGGTCTCAGGGGCCCCACTGGGCCAGAGAGTTCAGGATGGTGCACTCCTCCCGATGGCAGTTAGAGCAGGCCCTTAGCTGGGAGAGTTTATTATGCAAATGAGAAAATTGGGGCCCTGAGGCAGAGCCAAGACTGGCCAAGGTCATACACTGAGTTTATAACCAAAAGGACAGCGACTCTGCATTCAGACCACCTGTGCCTGATTCCACCAGCTGAGTGACCTTAGGCAAGTGACTTTACCTCTTTCTGCCTCAGTGTCCTTATCTGTAGAATGGGTATTGGGAATTACAGTGGCACCAGCTTCTGTCTCAGGGAGCTGAGCTGTGAGGGTTAGACGAGATGATAGCAGCTGACACTGAAAGCTCACATTGACATGCAGGCTCAGTGCTAATGTATCTAATAAATGCAGACGCCTTAGCTCAGTGGCAGGTGTCTATTAAATATGTAGTGATTATCAGAGTTTGTTAGTAGAGGTAACCCCCCTCCACCAAGTGCAAATTCAGCTTCTGCACCCATGTCTGCTGTGATAGGGAGCTGGCTACCTCTCCTTGCTTTCCAGATATGTCTTTCCAGATGTTTTCTGCTCAGCTACCTTTTGCATCCCTACATCTCTACACCACCCCATTCACAGATGAGAAAACCAGCTCAGAGAGGTTAAGTAACCTTTCCAGGGTCACTTAACCTTTCCAGGTTCAGAATCCTGGGGCTCAGTCAGCTGGATAAAGGTAGCATTCCCGAGGGCCTGCTGTATGCTGGGCAGGGCTCTCTGCTGTGACTTCACATCCTTGAGCCTACTCTGCTGCAGGTGGTCTCATTTAACAGGCATGGGAACTGAGTCTCGGGGAGGTAGTTGCAGAGAATAAAAGCAGAGCCAGACCTTGAGCTGGTTCCCGCCCCCCCCACACAGCAGTTTCCCATAGGTATCCTGAGGATAGGGGTGGGGAATGATCAGGCTCTCTGAAATTCCTAAAGGGTTAATGGGGTCCCAGGCTGGGGAGCAGAGCCCAGCCTCCCTCCTGCCTCACAGTGAGGAATCCCCCGCAGGCAGGTGAGTTAATGAGTGGCAGGTTGACTAGGAGGCAGCACCTTTGCCTGGCAGGAGCTGAAAGGTGTAGGGCGGAGGGGGGCTGGAAGATTGGAAAAACCCTTTCTGTTTTTCTCTCCATACCAACGAATCTGTGAAAGCACCCAGCAGGGCAGTGACTTGCTCAAGGTCATCAGCACCTTGAAGGCTGAGCCATGTAGCTAATTTCCTGTCAGGCAAGCCACCTAACCCTCTGAGCTGCAGTGGCTTCCCTGTGAACTGGGGACCCTTGTGCTCCCCGGGAGGGCATGGGGTGGAGGAGCCATGGGAGGCTGGCTCTGCCACTCCACAGCCCCCAGTAGGCACAGGTTTGCTTCCTGGTTTCTTTCCTCCTGGGCCTGGCTGTTGGCTTCTTCACCCCCCACTCAGAGCCCATACCTGGAATCTGCCACCAGCCCTGGAATGTCAGGGACCCTCAGAGCTCAGGCCTCTCCCACGCTTTCCCTCAACTTATCCTCTGGGTTGGTCGGTGACCCCCACCCCTGTAGCTCTTCACCTCAAATCAGTTGGACATTTCCCAATTGTAAATTTCCATGCCACCCACCCTCCTCCCCAGCAACTAATTACTTCTAAAAATTATTCGCTTCAGTCTCTGTCCCTCTAGATTTCTGCTAGAGCCTGGCAACTGCTCCTCACTTCCACCACCTCATCTTGTTCCTTCCAACCTGATCCAGAGAATCATTGTAAAATTAAAATCCTATCTGTGTCATTCCCCTGCATACCCCTTTCAGAGGCTCTCTGTTGACTCCCAAGAAAGATGTTGGATACCTTAGCATGACCCCAGGAGGTTCCAGACTGTGCTTCCTCTCTGGCATCCCTCTCCTCTGGAACTTAAGCCCACCCCTCCATTCCCAAATATGAATCCAGAGCCTACCCTGTTCTAGCCCCTGAGGATACCACAGTGAACAAAATGAAGTCCCCACTGTGGGCATTTGAGTTCTAGTTGAGGGGAGACAAGATAAGTAAATGGGGTATATAGTATGAAAGATGGCAATGAGTACTATGGATAAAATTAAATCTGGAAGGAAAGACAGGGAACACCCAGGGGAGGTGGTGATATCATATTCTGGGAAGACCTCACTATAAAGCTAACATTTGGACAAAGACTTGAAGAAGGTAAGGGAGCAGCCAAGCAGATACCTGGAGAAAGAGCACTCCAGGCAGCAGGAACAGCAAGTGCAAAGGCCCTGGGGTATCTGTGTGTTCCAAGGAGGGCATGGAGCCAGGGAGGCTGGAGTGGAGTGAGGGGAGGCACGGCAGAAGATGAGCTCAGAGGGGTAATGGAGTGGGCGACATGGGCCAATTATCTAAGGTCTTCTAGGCCATTTTGAGGTCTTTGGCTTTTATTCTGGTAAGACAGAAAGTCATTCCAGGGTTCTGAGCAGGTGTGACAAAGTCTGACATGGCGTTTGGATTGGAAAAAGACTTTAGGGGGCAAGGGTAAAAGCAGAGAGCACTTAGGGGGACAGAGATGAGGGGGGCTCAGTCCAGGCTGATGAGTAGTGGCTGATGAGAAGTGATTGGGTTCTTATACCTTGGAGGTAGAGCCAACAGGATGCAGGTGTGAGAGAGGAGGTGTGGATGTTGGCTGGGATACCTAGGCACTGGGCTGGAGAACACAGGAAGGATGGAGTTGACCTGGGAGGAGCAGGTCTGGGGAGGGAGGGAAGGAGTATGCAGTGTAGGGGCAAGTGTGTGTATAGCATTTAGAGTTGTATCTCCAGTCCTGCATCAGTGTTTATTTGCCCCTGGGCTTTTGCGCATGCTGGTCTCTGTCTGAACTGCTTTTATTGCCCTGACAGAACTCCAGCTGACTCCTGAAGGATCCCTTCTGTGACTCTCTCCCTTAATTCCTCACCTCAAACCCCCAGCGTATCCCTCTCTCTGCTTTGTGCACATGCTGGACCTCACACTTATCTCAGAGCCTTTATCGTGTTTTGCCCCAGAAGGTAGGACCAAGTGCCTCACTCTCTGAAACCCCTTGTTTATCAGAGTGCCCCATACGTCTGAGTGTCTGCACATAGCAGGCACTCAAGACTGAGAGGACCTGGTTTGAATCCTGGCTCTACTATGTACAGGTTCTGAGACCTTGAGCCGCTCACCTTGCCTCCATGAACCTCAGTATGTGCATCTGTGAAATGGGCGAGATCTTTCCCCTCCCTGCCTCTGAGGATATTTCGAGGATCTTAAATTCCGTGGACAGGAAGAAAGCAGTGGTTAGCGCGCCCTCTGCTGGAAGACGGCAGACTCCTCAACCACTCCTCCCGCTCTCCCGCACTTTGCGGGGAGGGAGGTGAAAGTCAGAGGCCCCGGGGAGGGGAACGGGCACCTTGGGCAGGTACCCCAGCACTACCAAAGCACCGCACGCTCCTGTTTGTTCCCATTCGCTCACCACGGCCCTGCGGAAGAGGTTAGATTAGCCCCATTCTACTGAGCACCTACTTGCCCCAGAGCTGCTTACTCGTCCGTCACTCACGGTTTAAATTTTTTTTTTTTTTTTGAAGAGGAGAAAAAAAGGAGAAAGGGGGCTGGGTCACAGAGAGGAAAGTAAAGGTAGGGACAGGAGGAGACTGCGCTGGTGACTGGGAGGCCTCTCAGGAATGGTTAAGGACCAGACCCACCTACATTGGGGCTGGGGCTATGTGCGTCCCAGTCCCCGCTCAGCCACCAACTCAGTTTGGGAAGATCTTGAGCAGTCCCTTCGCCTCCCCGGCCTCAGTTTCCTCACCAGTGAAATGGGCGTGATAACCCCTCCCCTGCGCCCCTCTCCAGGCGGAGGGACCTGGGCATGACCCCAAGGGGGTTTTGAAAGCGCCTCGCTAGCGCACGCTACCCGCCACAAGGGGGCGCGAGAGACGCCTGCTGGACTGCGAGGCGAGACCCGTCCCGCCCGCTGGAAGCCAGGACCCAGAGGGCAGGCGGCGGCCCCACCTCCATTTCCATTTCTGGGAGGGGCACTCGCTTCCCTTCTCTGGTCCTCTCTGTAAGAAGATGCTAACGGTGGGTCCCGCCCTATTGATAAGCACAGATTACAAAGTATTTTCTTCTCCATTAGGTCACTTACCTGCCCAATACCAGGGAGATGGCCCTGATGCCACCCTCAGTCCTCAGGTGACAAAACTAAAACCAAGAGCAGAGCCACCAGCTAGGGGAGTCGGTTATGGTATCCAGAAGCACGGCCCTTACTGGGGAGGAGGGAGACGGTGATGACAACGAACAGGAAAATCCCCAACCTGCTCAATCCGGTTGCCAAATAGAAGCCATCATCCACATTAACAATCGAACCCCGTACAAACGACAAGTTAACGTTTTCTTTTAGAGACACCGACGGTCCTCATTTCCTATAATCCTGTAAGAGAATCTGATTTTCCCCATCAGCCTGCCCCAGAACTGGAATTCCACCACTGCAATCTCATTCTTAGAATTAAGGCAGATGCCTAGATTAGAAGGCAAAGGAATTGCTGTCAGTCATTCAGGCCCTACGGGGGCACCAAGGCACCTGAGCCTCCCCTGGAGTGGCTCACAGAGGAACCCAGGCCAGCAGGCTTCTCTGTTCTGGGAGGTGCAGTAAGCATCCCCATTTTACAGAGGAGGAAAACTGAGGCATAGGGAAGTAACTTGATCAAGGCCACACTGTCCCACTGTAGAGGACCCAGAACCCAAGCCCAGGCACTGTCCCTGGCCCCAGGGCCCGAACTTTTAACCTTCTTGCTGAGGTTAGGGAGTATCCCACGGTGGCTAGGTGCATGGCCTCTGGGTCAAATCCCAGCTGCTATGCCATTTCTAGCTGTGTGACTTTGGGCAAGAGACTTGTCTGCTCTCCTCCTAAAGTGGGATAGCAGTGCCAGCCTCNGTTTCCATTTCTGGGAGGGGCACTCGCTTCCCTTCTCTGGTCCTCTCTGTAAGAAGATGCTAACGGTGGGTCCCGCCCTATTGATAAGCACAGATTACAAAGTATTTTCTTCTCCATTAGGTCACTTACCTGCCCAATACCAGGGAGATGGCCCTGATGCCACCCTCAGTCCTCAGGTGACAAAACTAAAACCAAGAGCAGAGCCACCAGCTAGGGGAGTCGGTTATGGTATCCAGAAGCACGGCCCTTACTGGGGAGGAGGGAGACGGTGATGACAACGAACAGGAAAATCCCCAACCTGCTCAATCCGGTTGCCAAATAGAAGCCATCATCCACATTAACAATCGAACCCCGTACAAACGACAAGTTAACGTTTTCTTTTAGAGACACCGACGGTCCTCATTTCCTATAATCCTGTAAGAGAATCTGATTTTCCCCATCAGCCTGCCCCAGAACTGGAATTCCACCACTGCAATCTCATTCTTAGAATTAAGGCAGATGCCTAGATTAGAAGGCAAAGGAATTGCTGTCAGTCATTCAGGCCCTACGGGGGCACCAAGGCACCTGAGCCTCCCCTGGAGCGGCTCACAGAGGAACCCAGGCCAGCAGGCTTCTCTGTTCTGGGAGGTGCAGTAAGCATCCCCATTTTACAGAGGAGGAAAACTGAGGCATAGGGAAGTAACTTGATCAAGGCCACACTGTCCCACTGTAGAGGACCCAGAACCCAAGCCCAGGCACTGTCCCTGGCCCCAGGGCCCGAACTTTTAACCTTCTTGCTGAGGTTAGGGAGTATCCCACGGTGGCTAGGTGCATGGCCTCTGGGTCAAATCCCAGCTGCTATGCCATTTCTAGCTGTGTGACTTTGGGCAAGAGACTTGTCTGCTCTCCTCCTAAAGTGGGATAGCAGTGCCAGCCTCCAGGGCTCCCCTTGAATGAGTACTTTCTGTAACGTGTTTAGAACATGCAGCCGCGCAGCCACGATCCAGTAACTACGGGCCGCTTCTCCTGAGCCTCAGATGGGCGCGTGACCTTGAAGAGTCTCCAGCGCCCCGGGATTCCAAGTGCCCGCCCGCGGGATCCTGGAATCTTCCAGCGGCGTTCTGTGTGTTTGGGCTGGGGCTCTGGGCCCGCCTGCCCAGGATTGGACGGTGTGGGGCCACCTGTCCACCCGGCTCAGCCCCACACAGGCAAATGAGGTGATGTCAAAGCCCTGGCTGGGGCCCAGCTCCCCGAGCCGCCCCTCTCCGCCCGGCCTCTCCCTCGCGCAGAGGCGCACACCCAGCCGCCCGGGGCCGAGGGGCGCGGG